GAGAGAGAGAGAGAGAGAGAGAGAGAGAGAGAGAGAGAGAGAGAGAGAGAGAGAGAGAGAGAGAGAGAGAGAGAGAGAGAGAGGGGGGGAGAGAGGGAGAGAGCGGGAGAGAGAGAGAAAGGTAGAGCGAGGGAGTGAAGTGAAAGAGAGAGAGGGAGAGAGAGAAGAGTGAGAGACCATTTCGAAGACTTGAACAGAGAAAGTGTGGACGGGAACGGGAGGAAGAGTGGGAGAAAGGGAGAGAGAAGATGGAGGAAAACGAAATGAACTGACGAGAGGTGCTGTCAAAGGAAGCGCCAAAGTGGATTGTCTAGCGATTATACTGTAGCCGAAAACGAAGAGGGCAGATAAACTGAACTTCAAGGCGGAATCATCCCAAGAAGGGCAGAATGGGACGATAAACAACACAGCAGGAAGCGATCCAGCGTTACACGAGTGAGAACCTTCCGACTCCATCCATCCTCAATCATCACCACTAACAGTACTCTTTCCTCATTACCACTCCGATCCTTCGCCTTCTGTTTAGAACTTCCCATCTAAGTTCTATTAACCTTACCGTGTATCGCCCCTATCATTTTTTCGCTTTCTCAGTTTAGTCTACCCTTTTTCTTCCATCCCCCCCGTTCCCAACCTCTCTTTCTACTGGTGGCTCTATTCTGCCTCCGCTTCATTTGGGGATTCTCCCAAACTCCCTACGATCGCCTGCACCCATCGCCGACCTGTTTAAGTCTTCCGCCTACAACTCCCTTTTCGAATCAATCATCGTCTAATATCCCTACTGTCCGGTAGTCCAACCGCCTCCCTATATCATCGCTTTCCCCGATCCTCCCCCCTCAGCCTTCTTCTATCATGCGTCAACCTCTAAATCGCCCCTCGTTTTTTTCTAACAGGTTCAAATCCACCCTACCGCCCGTCGATTTTACCCAGCCACCTACCTGTTCCCACCCAGAAACCATCTCGATACCATCCCGTCTCTCCACGGTCCCATCTCATCCCGAAGCCAACTGCCCCCACCTCATCACAGCCTAACTCTGTTCCGATCCCACCCCCAGCCTGTTCCGATCTCTCGTCGACCCCAGCCTGATCTCTACTCGATTTCAGCCCGATCCCATCTATCCCCACCCAGGTCGCAGCCAGATCCCACCTCGACCCCATCTGGATCCCATCCTGACCCCATCTACCCCCATTCTCTCCCATCTCCAACCCACCATAATCCCATACCGAATCCGTCCCTGTCCTAGCTCGATCCTCCTGCGAGCCCACCCCGTTTCTATCCCGATCCCACCATGATCCGGTTCCAACTCATGGCTTGATCTCCCCCGCACTGGACTGGATCTCGTCTTCATCCCAACCTCGATCCTAAGCCCAATCTAACTCGAACACACCCCGTTACACCCCCCCCCTACTACGAGCATAACCACCCACAAGTCGCCCCCCCTCTCTAACCATATAAGAACATCATTCCCTGCCATCATCTTTAAATAACCCTCTTGTTGGGTAATCCAGCCGCCTCCCTTCATCACCTCTTCCCCTGATCCTCCCCTCGCTGTCCCTTTTTTTTTTTTTTTTTTTTTTTTTTTCCAACCTCTAAATCGATCTTTGCTTCTTTTCTCCAGAATCAAATCCACCATACTGCCAGTCGATCTTAGATACCCACTTACCCGTTCTCAGTCCGATACCATTTCGATCCCATCCCATCTCTCCCTGGACCCAGCTCGATCCCGTCCCATCTACATCCCGATCTCATCACGATTCCATCCATCCCCACCTTATCTCAGCCTATTTCTGTGTCGACCCCATCCCGATCCCATTCAGCTCTCTCGCCGATCCCAGCCTGATCCCTTCCCGATCTCATCCGGATCCCATCTTTTCTCGCATTGGTCCCAGCCAGATCCCTTCTTGTCCCCATCCAGCTCTCATCTCGACCACATCTACTACTATTCTCTCTCATTCCCAACCTGCCCTGACCTCATTCCGAACTTGTCCCAGCCCTAGCTCGATCATCCTTCGATCCCACCCGGTATGTATCCCGATCCCAGCCTGATCCTGCTACGTCCACGGCGTGATCTCCCCCGACACTGGACCGGACCCCGTCTCCATCCCAACTCCGATCCTACTCCCAATCTATCTCGAGCACATCTCGTTACACCCCCCTATACTACGAGCATAGCCACCCACAAGCCCCCCATCTTCGCCCCTTCTCTCTAATCACATAATAACCCTCTTCCCCGCCCTTCTTCTTCCCACCCAACGTTGTATCCCCCAGCGCTCACACCCCCCCCTCGAGCAGTAACATCACCACCTCGCATTATAGTCGGTACACATTAACATTATTCTCTTATGTCTATTAATCCTGGGGTCATTATCTTTCTATCAATCTCATTTCCACAGTGGTCCTAAACAAGTTTAACTGGGAGACCTCTGAAATCCGGTCGGATCGGAGGGTCTCATTCCCATTCCCACACCAACACCACCCTTCTACTATTCCCTGTCCAATCACCACCCTCCAGTCCAACTCAACGATGGAAGGAATGGGCATGGAAACGCAAAACTGGCTCGCAGAACAGACTAGAAC